GAAGATGCTGCTGCCCATCTCCTGCCTGTTTCTCTCTGTCGCCTTTACGACACCCACAGGAAGATATTGGATATTCTCAAGCGCCACTCCACGACAAACAGCATATTATTTGGGATTACTTATTGCAGAAATTAAAAAAGGATATGTTCACTTATTTTTTAACCACAATCCCAACTGGGGGTAAGTAAACGTAACCAAAAATATTATAATCTCCTTTAACAAAACAATGACAGTCTTTTATTAAATAACTACTTAACGGATACTGAAAAAAATATTTCAAAATATTACGTTTCATTCTCACGTTGGTCTGAAGCACATACGGTTTTAAATTCTATCGAGGAGAATTGAAAACAAAACTACGATAATATTATGATGGCGGCGTGAGAAAAGAAAAAAAGTTCTAAGTTGCCGCCGATAGGTAACGGTGACACCAATTGTGTGAACCAGATGTTAAATGCTTAAATTGACCGCAAGAAAAATCGTCACAGGTGCAATTCATATCATACAGCTTTAATAGCTATACCTAACAAAATCCCAGGAAATATACAAAACGGGATCCGCTCAAAGTCCAGAAACTTTATTAAACTAAGTTTGTATAAAAAGGGTTATAATAATTTTAAGGAATTTATAGATGATATTAACCCTTGGGAATGAGGGGATCGCTACTAAGCTATTTGTAATTTGTTATGTTGATTAATTGTGTTACATACATGATTTTAAGCCATTTTTTTAAAAGTCACGCTGGATTTCTTGCTGGTTCTTCCCAGGGCAGAAGTTTTTTTTTTCCGAACCGGTGGTAACTAAACAAAAGAGTGACTTTCAACAAGTATTATTTATAATCTATATTAAAAAAACTTATGTTTTGGGTTGTAAAGTGGCCGCAACTTTCCTTTACTTAATCTAATTGTAGTTTTGTGAACAATCGAAAAAGCAGATAATAGATACCGCCAATATTATCTGCTTCCGCCGCTGATTCGTATATTTTTCTGGGGGGTTTTACGCTAGTATACAACACAAAAACACACAGATTCAATGAAATTTAAGACAATTTGTATATACTTGGAATAAATTTAATTGTTATTCATTTCAGTTCACAGTCACTTAAGTTCGAAGAACGATTCGTCTATGTGTCTCGATAAAAGATTCTCTGTAATTATTGTCCTCACGGTAATAATATAATAGATAAAGTGGAATCGCATCTCCGCTGTTTCCTAACGTGCTGTATCGGACTGGTGTGAAATGTTACATATTTTGTGCATTTACTGCTTTTGTCTTACAACGTACGTTCATAACTTTTAAAACTATAATTAAATGATGAATGCGTATGAATCTTTGCGTATATTTTACATGTTCTTATTATTATTGCCGTATTTGTTGTTGCTGTTTGTTTTAGTTTTCTTGTTTTTTTTTCTTTAATGCAATTAACGAAAGGTTTTTGTGGACGTATTCAGGATCAGCAGAGATAATCAAATTAAATTCGATTTAAAATAAAGTAAGGTAGGCTGATATCATCATCATCAATACAGCCCTTCTCAAGTACACTGCTTAGAAAAGGCCTGCCCTGAGGTATGCCTCTGTGGGCTATTGATATGTTTAAAAAATATTACCCTACACCAGGAATTATTCCTGAATCATGAAGGAGTTTCACGAGTACCTACACCAATGGCACGCAAACCAACAGTCAGAAACAAAATAACCATTTATAAGCGATACTAATATTAAAATAATAGTTTGTGCGCCTCTCAGTGATAGTGTAACGTCTTAACAACTTGACAGATTTAGGTCATATTTAAGCAATATATTTTTTGCTATGTCAGGACCCAATAGGTAGTAAATTATCAATAAATTCTGTGTTAATGGTTCAAAATTACTCATATTTACAAAATAATGTTTTGTTTGTCACCAATAAAGAATATCACACAATCTGGAGCGGATAGGTGGCATATTATTAATATTTATTTAATAAACGTTAAAAAAATTTTGCAATAAATGGCACGGGCTTTCCCCAGAAATACATTATAATGGCGTTACTGTAAGCATTCACCCGTCTCAACATAATTGCCCTTTGTCTGCAATATGTTTTGTTATACGATATAAAATATAGGATATAAATTAAAAATAGTCAAAGGTTGTTAGGCTACCGTATATTTCGAGATCACTTTTGTTATTTCTCAATATAAAGTTTATATTGCACGGTTCAATAAAGGGCGTATTCGGTGACATATTCATATTATTTTACGACAGCAAATGTAATGAATACTTCAAATTGACAAACGCTTGTTATTTTAATAAATCCAGAACTTACCTTAGTTTTGTGAATGTTAATTATTTACATAAGTGGCAGATTTTTACTTCTTTTTTCTTTAAAATACCTTAAATATCCCTCTTGGACCCACAGACATGTATTTTCTAACTATGCTTTCGGTTGGAAATGACTTTAGATGCTATATGTACGCATGCGTGAGTGCGTGCTATATGTACCCATGCGTGAGTGCGTGCTTTTACTATATATAGTGGAGCATAATTTTGGATACCTTTCGGTGTCATTTAAAATGTACACAAGTACTATACTTTTAGACAGAAGGTTCACTGCCGTCAAATTATTACTATTAGGCAGTTGTTATCCATTTTTGTGACAGTTTTGAAGATCGATTAGTAAAATCGTGCCAAAATCATAGCTTATAGTGGTAGAGCCATGCTGTCGTTACATTAGTAGTATAGTTGTAGCACGAATGGGTCGGCTCGATCGGGGAAAGACCACGCTCTCACAGAATATCAGCTTAAAATAGAAGCTTAATGCTGCTGTGTTTCGTATGGTGAGTGTAGAGAACCGGAGACCCTTTTTACTGGAAACGAGGCATTCCATCTTAGTCCTCACGGGTGACAATGCATCTGCATTTTGATTTGTAATCGAGGATACATGTAGATGTCTATGGGTCACAACAATCACTTGCCATCAGGTGGACTGTGAGCTCGTTCGTCACCCTATCCTATAAAAAAATCAGTTTCTGTCAATAAAATCTCAGCAGTAGCTCGGAGTCAGGAAGTTCGTGGTTGATCACCCATATGCCTTGAAAAGTAATTAAAGCCGTCGGTCCTGCGCCTGATCTTTATCCGGGCGCATCGGATTGCAGTTTCGACGGACTATGAGAGGTTACCTGTGTTTGTGCATTCACTGATGCACAATTCCCGTCTCCTGTTGCGGCTGGCAGTTGTGACAGACAATGGGTCTAAAAGACATTATTATTATTATTTTATTTTTATACCTCTGACACGCAGGTTAAATAACTGCTATAATAGGCTTCCAATAGATTGATTCATAAGTGGGATACTTGCCATATTTGCCACGCCTGCTAGGCGGGTTGACAACCATATTTTTTTCTAGTTATTGTCAGGAAGACCTATCTATTAGTTTGTTTCTCACTGTCGTCTCTTACGACATTCACGATACGGCAGATATTCTTACTTAATCACTACACATTAGCGGTTAAACAGCTTTTAACATTGCAATTAAAAATTTCGTTAGTCTAACCCGTGTTGCTCGTGTACTGTATAATACGTACATAGTGAATTTATTATATGAATCCATTATGATTTTTTTGCTGGTGTAATTGAAAAAAGACCTTATTTTTAAGAAATTTAAATGAAGAAGCGTGGTGGTGAAGTAGAAGTATCCATCATCACATTTCATCCCGTGGGTGTCGTAAATTATGACTAGCCAGAATATCGTCATGATTCGACAGATGACGATTATACTTGCATAAATTCTAGATGTAAAATACCAAAATTGTCGACGTGAGCAGCGGCATTAAATTTGCTGATCATTTGCAATCGCCAATCTGACGCCAATTGCGGCGATTGTAGAAAATTCTCTCTATATAGGAAGCCCCATGTTTAGAAGTGCACTGTTGTAGACTAACTGGAAGGAAGAAATTTAAAAATTACACTATTAAAATTGGTCCAAACAAACAAAGGAACATCACAGATCAATAAATAAGGAGTGAAAGAAAATATGTAGCAACTCATTCATTTCAATTCAACTTTGGTTAGGAGTAAAATATGCACTGCATTACATTCCATTATTAGGATAGAGATGAAGAGGCAATCGATGTTTGTCATCCTCTGTAATTATATTTACTGCAATGCACTCGAAACCTTGAAACTTTAAAACTGAGTTAAAACAAACGCGACAAAATCCTTAAAAGTAGTTCACTTATAATGAATAGTGTTCACGCAAATATATTAAGAAATTATAATGAGGTATTAAAAAATTTTGACCCGAAAAATTTGAGTAAGCATGATGGGCCGAAGCTTTGCCAATTTTTTGTCATTAATCATCATAGGTAATTTTTGAATGAGTTGGATCTCAAAAAAATCTATAAAAACATAAAAACCTTTATTTATTTATTTGTACTATTATGTATTTTAAAAAATATGACAAATTGTTTTTAATACAGTTAATTATTATCCAACAATCGTTAATATCATTAAAAAAGCCGGACATAAACTAAAAGTTTTCATAATAATTACCTACCTATCTATAAAGTACATATCAAAAGCTGATAATTATAATATCAGTTTAAATTTTTATCCATTTTCATTATATTAATATCAAGAATTGTCAATTAAGTAAACAAAGAATCTTTAATTTTATAAAAAAAAATAAACAAACCTAATTGACAACCTTTAAGGATCTTGCTTTAATTTTCTAACGCCGCTTTTACGACTAAGTGCTCCGGATGCAGGGCGCATCTGTGGTCGCGATCGCATCCTCTCATCTCCGAGCCGCGAACATTCACGAGCGAGGAAGACTAGCCTTCCAATCGATACTGCTGATCCACCACATTGCAATTCAACGGCCGTGATGCCTTTTTCAGCGAATAATGCGTTCTAAGGCAAGATGGGAGGTATATAACCATCATGTCTTCGTGCAACCATCACAGTACTCTGCGAGCAGCCAAGCAGTGTAATCACTGGATTATAATTTAATATCATTTATAATGAAGCTGGTGAGTATAAAAGCTAGCAAAATAGATTATTTAATATGAAATTTTTCCTTTTTTTATTTACTTGGATTTTTTTCTTACATAAATTTTTCATTCAACTTTTTTTATCCATAAATCATTTTTAAAGGTATTTTTAATACCTAATGTCAATTTAGTTAATTTTAAATTATAATTTACAAAACTTCACACACATACAACGAAAGTTTTTTTGTAAGACGTTTTTATATATTGGATTAGTTTAATTTTTTTAAATAATGGAATAATTTTGATGACCGCAATCCATTCTCCTGATTTCCATGGATTTTTTGTTGTAATATTTTAGAAAATTCAAAGGATATTGTAAATATATGCACAATAGCCCTCTCAGATAGGAGAAGTGGGATATAGACTAAATACCTCTTAAAATCAAATTTTACGTGATAGAGCTATGCTGCAGCTATATTAGTAGTAAAGTTGGGTCACGAATGGGTCGGCCGGGGAAGGACCAGGCTCTCACAGAATACCAGCGTAAGATAGCAGCTCAACGCTGCTGTGTTGCGTATGGTGAGTGTAGAGAACCGGAGATCCTTTTTACTGGAAACGAGGCATTCCATCTCAGTCCTCACGGGTGACAAACATTTGTATTTTGATTCCTATTTAAGGATAAATGCGGATTTATGAGGTCCACAGTATCCATTTACCATCAGGTGGACTGTGTGATATATAAGTTGTCAACCTGGTCCTATTAAAAAATTGCTTTTAATACATTGTATTTGCAATTATTAAGTTATATGTTATTGTTACATATTGTAAGAAATAAGTTTGGAATATTCTCAAGCACTGTACTTAAAAACGCGATGCTATATTTTACATTCTGCGTTCATTTAAGGTCGAATTTCGAAACAAAAGCAAATTTGTGCTCTTTGCCATTTGTAGTAATTTAGAGCACTGCACTGTAGCATTTAACGCTTAGTAACAAACCAATTCATTTGTATAGTTTATAAATACCTATTCTGATGTTTTTAATATTTAGAAATTTTTCAAATGGTGACCAGTCTTTTCTTCTCTTCTAACTATCTATCTTACTTATTTTTAACTTCATTTAAGTCAGTGTTTTTGTCGCTAAAATAGTTTATATTATTGATTAATAGTTAGGCCTCAGTGAAAAGCGGTCGGTGGCGCGGAGCGTTTAGCGTGCATGATACATGCTCTTCTATTATAGTGCCCCCATCAAGTGTACTCCACTGAGACCTAAGACTAAAGCTTGGGTAGAAAGCTTACAGTACGTGGTGTTCCAAGCACCATATTAAAACAACACTTTCTTTCTTATAACAACTGCTCCAGCGGGCACAACTCGAGATAGAAAGATTCTGAGTTGCGCCCGCAAGAGTTTATGCTAGCTTCGTGAAACGCTTTCCAAATCCTTAGGGTTAGGCTGTTTTAATATTGGTGAATTCCATGATTACAAAAATTAAATCTTGCCGCGTGCGTTAGACAGGAGGAGGTAGGACGAGTTGTCTGGCGGACACCACTTAGAACTTTGGACTAAGAAGAAGAGCATGTTTTTCTCATTAACGCCGTAACCCTCGCTGTACTGCACTCTCGTCTCTAAAATTCTTCACTAAATCTTTAATTTACTGCATGTTATCTTTTCGCAACGAATAAGTACAGCGAAGAGGTAATGTGTTGGCCATCTAGCTTGACCTGAGAGTTTGATGAACCGATAACAATGTGGAAAAAAGGTTCTAGAATGGCAGTCTCGTATCGGCAATCAAAGTGTGCAGGAAGCATTTGCGTTCAGGTAACTCAGGATCATGCTTTTTGAGATCACTCCAAGGAGATCTGTGTTCAGCAGGACTTGTGAAGGCCTGTAATGATGATGATGATGAAAATTGGCTTTTATACTTTCTAATATTAAAAAAAGTAAAGTTACAGCCTATGTACGTCCCAATGCTGGGCACATGCCTCCGCTCATTTCTTAGAGGGTTTTAGGGCATTGAATTGTCAATTGGCAGGAATTGTACGCCGCGCTGCCCCAATGCGTGTTGGCGAACTTCACATGTCTTCGAAATATTTTTTTTCTTATTTCTCTGACATGCAGGTTTTCCTCACGATGTTTTCCTTCACCGCAGAGCACGTGGTAAATCAACACTTAAAATTTCAACTAACAATTTCATTGGTACCGGTGAGGATCGAACCCGGTTTGCTCGCGTACTGTGAAATTTAAAGCGAGCGCTAACCATCTGAGCTACCACTGCTCTTAATAATATTAAAATACTGATGAGTAATATTACATCGTTAATCATTTCCAGATTTCATAACTATTAAAAATTACTTTTTTTTTGTTTGCAGTTCATCGTTGTTGCCGTGCTTGGGGTATGCTCCGCAGCCCGTTTAGACAACACCTACCTCCCTCCTAGAGGAGGTGCAGGCTCAGGGTTTGGGGGAAGTAGCGGTTTCGGGGGCGCCTCCGGTGCTTTTGGCGCGGGCGGTGCCGGAAGATATAGTGCTGGTGGAGCCGGCGGATTTGGAAGTGGGGGTAGTGGTGGTGGATTCGGCAGCGCCGGCGGATACCAAGGGGCAGGAGTTGCTGGCGGATTTGGTGGTAACGGTGGAGCTGGGGCATATGGTGGCGTTGGAGGATCTGGAGCTTACAGTGGCGCTGGAGGATCTGGAGCGTACAGTGGGGCCGGAGGATCTGGAGCGTACAGTGGATCCGGTAACTACAATGCCAGGCAATCCGCTGATGCCAGTGCCCAGATCCTCAGATTGAACAGTGACGTCACCGCTGAAGGATTCTCTTATAACTTCGAAACGTCCAACGGAATCCGTGCTGATGCATCTGGTGTGGCCACGAACGGAGTTCAGTCTCAAGGCAGCTTCGCTTACAAGGGCGACGATGGCCAGGACTACAGCATTACTTACACTGCTGATGAGAACGGGTACCAGCCCCAGGGCGCTCACCTCCCCACCCCACACCCGATTCCTGAAGCTATCTTGAAGTCTTTGGAGCAGAATGCCCGTGATGAGGCTGCTGGTATCATCGATGATGGTAAGTTGCTATTTTATGACTATTTACATTAGTAATACTTTAAAATTTATTTGTAAAATACCACTGAATATCAAGACAAGGGTGAATAGGCTTTTGTGAACCATCAATGAAAGTACTGGTATTATAAGGTAAAAATATTCTAATTCCTGATCTCAAAATAAATAAAATTATATACTAAAGCGATTAATATTTACAACCTTAAGGATGTCTTTACAGTAGTTATAAAGTTAGAGTTAAAAAAAACTAACAAAATATACAAATTCCGTTATTGAGTCATTGTCACCCAATTATTGTTTTGTCACGGGTTTTTTTATATGTCTTCAAAATGCAGATTATTTAGATGTTTGAAGGGGGGCAAAACTGAATTATAAAATTTTATTACATTTATGGTACATACATGCACATATGAAGGTAAAGCTAATACAAGCGTGTTAAAAAGGATTACCGATGCACTCGTTTGCAAGTGCGTAGATAATCAATTGACAAATAGACAACACATCGTATTTAGAGATTAGTTACGATAAATATACGACGTATTTTGTTGTCGATGTTGCAATTCGATCTTCGACTTTGTTATCCCAAAGAAATAAAGTCAATCTCAACTTAATTTTTTCTTCATCGACTATATCAGTCTGTGAGAGTTCATTGCTTGACGTGGATATCACTTCCATTGCAGCAAAGATTAACTATAACTGTCACATTTGCCACGCGAAGTGATGATCTCTGTTCCAGATGTCTTGCATCTTTCACGCTGCTAATTTACATTATTCATTTTTGAGAAGTCATTTTCTGTTCTTTGCCTTATCTAATAGTCTCTTAATGCACCCTAGGTAAGAATAGTGGTCACTGACGAGAATACATCACGTACATGTTATATTCTCGTGAGTCACCACCAAATACTAACGGAAATTTTATACACCAGTTTTATAACTTCAGTATCCAGACCAGTAGTTCTGGAAATTTAGGACGTGAGATAAAAATACTCCTTTATAAGTCAAAATTCTATATACGGTTAACGAAAGCGTATAATCATGTGTAATAATTTCTAACGCATCACTTGTATAAACGACGAGAATTACCTCACCTCAAATTATTGTATACAAAAAATCTAATTCTCGATAAAGGAAGCGAACAAATTGGGACACCTCGACATGGGTACAGTACCAGTACATACAAAATAAAATTAATCTAAACATCACTCAAGTTTTTGCTATCAAAGAATCTCGCAAAATAGCACAAAAACACCCGGTACTGTAGCGCGTAATCTCCGGATCGATTATGAAACAAAAAGTTGATAGAACTGTCAAAAATTATGGCATCATTTTAAACTAGCGACCCGTACCAGCTTTGTCTGGGTTGAATCTGTTTATGTCATAATATTATAAGGCGGTTGGATTTAAAATAATCAAAGTACATATTCCAAAAAAACTCTAATTTTTTCGGATAAAATAGCCTATATCACTCCTGGAATTGCTCTCTATCTGTTTGTTAAGCTTTATTAAAATATTTTCAGCCATTCCAAAATAATAACCCGGATACACACAAACAGAAAAATAGATAACATTTTTAATAATGCGTAATGGCCCTCAGCTGAATGTAGGGCAATTTTTTCAATATTCATACTTTTTATTGTGTGTAATGAATATTAATTGTAAATATTACATACAGATTCAATTTTATTTATATGTATAGAAGAAGACGTACACTGAATGTAAGTTGTATCATACAGATTATCTGCTTGTTAATGTACGTTTCACCATAATCGTTAAAATTGTGGAGTTCAAACTTTTTATTGCTTTGCGTGTTGAAAACATAATGTTTTCACTCGCAGCCTTAAAAATAAGAAAAAAGGGTGTTATCTAAATACACGATAAGTTCCAATTGTATGAGAATACAATGCGAATTCAGTTTTTTGAAGCTACTTACATAATTTGAGCTTTCTTTATCCCTTATATCCCTTTATAATGGGTAGAACCAAGTATTACAGAAAAAATTTCTTCGTCTGTTGTAAGATCCGTTTAAATAAAAATGTATTCTAATGTTCCCTTTGTAACAAAAGTCGCTGCAAAAAGGCATCTGAAAATGGCGAATAACCACAATTTAACCTCGTCATAGTAGTTACTGTAGAACAGTTTACGATGGGTTGTCCATCATTTTGTTTATAAGTCGGACTAATAGAAATTAATTTTTGGATCTTTCCAAATTAGGATAATACATACTTTTACATAGAACTTTTTTCTGTGAGTTGTTACTAAATGGCGTAACCTGGATAGAACATATTTTACGGCCTTATGTATACCAATATGTTCTTGAATTTTATTACTTGTTTTTGGATAAAATAATTTTAGTAATTTTACTTTTAAGAATCAATAAACTACATAGTTGTATACTATTCATAATTAATGCCTATATAACGTTCTATTGGTCTACATAAGTCTTTTTTACATGTTAGAATTTAGCCCTTAATATACTAATTAACTATCAAGCTAATAATTTATAGTATATCTTTTATAATTTACACTTTTTGGCAATATCATTATAATGTTAATTTACGTACTGAACCAAAATTGCATAATACACATTAAATCATATTCACACGACTATTTCAAGTATCGTACCACTGATGAGTTGCATGATGACGCGAGACCGTTGCAATTGCATAATAGGGCCCCGTGATCGCACTGGAAGCTGGGGCAAAGTGAGCCACGCAGTGAGTAGGCCACAGGTCAGCGGATTAATTGTTGCTTACCGTAGATTTATGGAAGCCAAATGTGTGACTAAAGTAGTCTAGGCTCGATTATGAGTTTAAAGTGTGCTTTTGATTAGTCATAATTTTATTTTGCAAGTTCTTGAGAATGTTGCACGATTTGTTTATAGCAAGTCCATCATATAGTCTCTCGTGTAATTATAGATTTAGCTTGAATTTCTGAACCCAACATTGTAAATGTAGTTTAGTTTACATTGTTGGGTTTATTTAACATCAATCTTTAATAATTGGTTTTTCTTTTTTTATTTAATTTTAACTATTTAGATCTATTTGCAACTATAAACTTTTCGTAATATTGGGTTAAATATTTATTTGTTATTTAATGGTCTTATTATCCTATGTTATTAATTTAGTTTTCTTTGCTATATTTATTTAGAACATTTTATTATTTTCACCGAATATTTAAATCATCCATCCAAATTCATAAAAAAATTATGAACATTCGGATCATATTTACAAATAACCGAATAATTTGCAAGACTGTTCGTGACTAGCTCAAAGTGTTAGGCGTGGGTTACCCCGATCGAGTTCATAGATACATTAACATCCTCTAAAAAGGTCGGGCATCAATTGTAAAAGTGAATGTCTGTGGGAGAATTTGCTCTTAGTAATCTAGGTCTAAGTCGTGGATATTATGTTTAGCCCTTCGGAAGCTCACACGTTCATCTTTAACATTTTAAAATTTAAATTTAATTTAATTTTTGGCATTTGGAAATTGTTTTTACAACTAGCATGATATAAGTAAAATTAGAAAATAAATATGTTAATAGAGAATTTTATGAAATTAAGTTCAATATGAAATTAAATGTTCAATCTTATCATTTTATCCTTTTTCTTTAAGTTCTTTAGAGTTAGTAGTGTCGAAATATTTTATCTTTAACCTTAGGGCGAAAACACAGAGCTATTTCTTTATCAGGGGGGGGGGGCTGTACCTTTTTTTGTCTCTCTAACTGAGGTAAAAATAATTTTTATTGCGGTAAATGATTTCATAACGTAACTTTGGAAGGTGAAAGCTATTAACAATATAAAGTACATCTGACTATCTATAGCATCACTCGCAGTCTCCTTCTTCGTAAGTTCCAACAGTAACTTTCAAGTTACATGTTTTCAAAATAAAAATCGATAGAACTTTATTCTTACTATTCAGTAATCTCATCTTTAAAACGAAAACGTATTTTTGGAGTTCTATTTCTGTTGGGAATAATTGGATCTTTATGGTTACGATTATACTATAAGAGTTTTATTTAACGTCCTTAACGTAGCTAATGTAGCAAATCAAATTATCAGCCGTCAACATTTTCATCATAATGCCACAGATTGTTATCATCTCTTTAGTTTAGTCACAATTGTCAAACTTGTTTCCATTTAGTGTTTGGGAACGTGCTGTGGGAAATCTAGAACAAAGGTATGTCATTAAGGATTGCAAGGCGGCGGTATCTCATTTCACTTAGCATACTTCACACCGGTGTAGACCAATATTCTGATATCTGGGAAAGAAACAATGATTTTCCTATAAAGAGAATGTAAAATCCTAAATCCTCAAAGATTTTTTATATAGGATAAGGGTGACAAACGGGCACACAGTCTACCTATAAGTATTTGTTGTAGTCCATAGACATTTACATCTATCCTCGATCACGAATCAAAATGCAGATGCGTCACGAATCAAAATGCAGCGTTTCCAGTAAAAAGTGTCTCCAGTTCTCTATTCTCACCATAGGAAACACAGGAGCGTTAAGCTGCTATTTCACGATGGTATTCTGTGAGAGCGTGGGCCTTCCCCGGTCGAGCCGACCCATTCGAACTACAACTAAACTACTAATATAGCTCCAGCATGGCTCTACCACGTCGGATATTTGCGATAGCTACTACGCTTGGCAAGCGCGTGGGCAATCACTGTTTTTATTTTATTTAAGTCGTAATTAAGAGGAGGCTACTACCCATCATATACCAGTAGCATAGGTGCAGCATCGCTCTACCACGTAAAATTATTCCGTGTGTGATTATTTTGTATCAATTGATTTTTCATATTTACTTGTATTCTATTACGTTTGTAAGTTCAGTACTCGTATTTTATTAAGCTATTGCATAGCTTCTATCGCGGGCCTTGAGCGCGGGGACCGAATCCAGAAATTCCGTAACGAAAAAAAACCTCACGCTCCCCACTCCGACGGGCACGGAGGTGTGGCGTTGAAAGCCGTGCATCGTCTAACGTCGTTTCAGTTCGGCAGGCTTCGGCACTCGGCAGACTTCGGCACGGTGTTTGTGTGCGTGCGACTAGACGTATGCGTGTACACTAGCTGGTAACTCAATGATAAAAATTCCTGAATAACCTACATGTATTGTAAGATATTAAAAATATTTTACAATATTAACTTCACATTTATTCAATAAGAGAAAAAAAATTGTTTTCTTATCGGTCAACACGCTCAAAAAGTGTAACTTGATTTAATATCAAAGACTTAACTGCATAAATAAAATAAATAAATAATTATGATTGCATAAGTTGATAAAAAATGCTATGCAATAGCTTTACCGCGGCAGTCACTGAGTGCCACACGTATTTTTTTATTTTTATTTTACACAATATATCGATGTACCTAAAGCTATCTTTGTGATAAGTCAATTTTAAAGTAATCTTAAATTACTAAGTCGCAATCTTGAAGGCAAATTTTCTTTTATTGTAATTACTAATAACAACAATAATGATAAAAGCTTCTTCTGACCTACATTTCAATGTATTTTACGCAATAATATAATACTTAGTGCAAACAAGAAACATCATTCAACGTTGTTATTATAGACTAATGAATCAACCTGATGTAGAGATCACATTAAATTGTCTGTTGCCCAAGCATTGTCTCAAACCAGATAGTAGTGCTTTTACATAAGCCCATAACTATAAAGCTTACTAGGTGGTAGAGCTCGTTTTTTAAGGGACGAAAAGTTCGTTTATCTGCTTCTGCGTGACGGACAACAAATATAATTTCGAAATATTTTAGCGTATGGTGGTTTCTTAAACGCCCTGATCGACCGCCGAGCCATAAACTTGTGGTTGTATCCGTACTCGTTTGTTTATAGTAGGTAACATCCGTCTGGGGCAAAATGATTTGGTTTATTAAAGGTACTCCATAGAATTGAAATTATGCGACTTACGCCAATATTACAACTAACAAAATTGAAAAGTGGTGTTCGCAAATTGAAGCACCGATATTAAAGGTCATTAGATACAAAATTAAAATACCGCAACTAATAGATCTGATAGTTTGCGAGCAAGGCCGTTACGAGCTTTCGGATGAGACCGAATTGTGTGGCTATAACGCAAGCGTTTGAACGATAATATATGTATAAAATTTTAGAAGCACAAAAAATGTGTTTTTTTTTTTAAAGTATGCAAAACCGAGTCGCTCGTCACGGGTTAAAGTATTGTAGGTACCTATAGCTTGTACTAAGTAGCTAAGATCTTGTAAAAATATTTACGAACGACACCTACATTGCATAGAAAACGGTAGCCGTCTACTAAAAGTGATGGTAACAAAGATAACATTTGTAGTGCTAGATCCGGGTGTGCTATTTATTTAATAAGTCGTTTTTATGATTACGTGTATTGTACTCAAAAGAATCTTAATATTTTATAGAAGACACAAACTACTTCAATAAATATTAAATTTAAAACTCGCTTATCTCATGACCTGAATGCAGACTTATAAACGAGTACGTACTGCAATCTCAGGAATTCTGTGCGTGAAGTTATTCGCAGTCGCGATCATGTCGCGATAGAAAATGGTTCATCTAATATCAAGCGGGTTGTCGATTTTCTATTGTATGCTTAAGAGGTCAGCTCGTCTTTATAATAGGGTAAATGTTGTAGCTGCTACTCAACCAATAACTTAGGTGGTCGTCATTATTTACGATGTATTGTAGAAATAAAAAAAACGTAGAGTAGATAGAAATAAATATATTTTTTTATCAGATAATGTTAACAAAGGAGCACACAGTCCACCTGATGGTAAGTAGTTGCTGTGGTCCTTAGACATCTAAATCTATTCTTCATTACGAATTAAACTGCAGATGTGTTGTCACCCGTGAGGAATGAGATGGAATGCCTCGCTTCCAGTAAAATGGGTCTCCGGTTCTCTATACGCTGGCATTCTGTGAGAGCGTGGTCCTTCCGCGGTCGAGCCGACCTATTCGTGCTACAACTATACTACTAATATTGATAGCATGGCTCTACCATAATAACTATTCAAATTCACTATACCACTATTTCATTAATTCATCCATTAAGACTTTATAATTTATGCACTTGCTCTTTCTATTTTATTTCCGTTCAGTAAAAAGTTTGCAGTCGATTTTAAAACTAACTTCCCTATGAGCTAAAGACTAGAAACTTCAAACATAGCTCATTATTGGAAGCGCTAAAAATAGTCGCCATTTTGAATCATATTTTTGAAATTAAATTCACCTCTGTATCGTGTAGAACCAGTAATACACTCAGCGGGACTTTTAAATATTACGTAAGGAATAAGTGAAACATGTCTTATTTTTATTTCGAATACCTAGGCTTTGAACAATTATTTTGTTATTACAGGTTCATACCGAGGTGAAGGCGCTGGTTCTGGAGCTGGCGGTTATTCCTCTGGTCCTTCTGCTCAATATGGTGCCCCATCCGGTTTTGGTGGCGGTTCCCGAGGCTCCGGCTTCGGTTCCGGTGGTGCCGGTGCTGGCGGTGCTGGCTTTGGGGCCGGTGGTAGTGGATTCGGTGCCAGTGGCTCTGGATTCGGCGCTAGTGGATCTGCATTTGGTGCTAAGGGGTCAGGCTTCAATGCCGCTGCCTCTCGTCAGTATCTAGCACCTAACGCTGGTCCCCGCGGCTCAGGAAACGGCAACTTCAACTCGCAAACCGGTTACCGTTATTAAGTAGACGATATTGCATATGAGGGCTAGTTAATATTACTTGAAATGCGGCTTTTGTCGGAATATCTATTTTATATATCTTTTCCGTCTTGAAACCACCGATCCGAGGAGTGGCATATATTTATAAAAGTTTTATTATGTTCTATGATACAAACTTTAGTTTACATTTGCCATTTTTCTTTCATTTTTCACTTCATACTTAATTGTTAAACTCGTAAATAGTTCTTTTAATTCTTTACATCATTTTTTATGTATTCACTATTATTTAATTTTAGCGCCCTCTACCGTCATTACGTGTAACGATGAAAACGATGACCGACGCTGAGAACCGATATTGTGATGATTACAATTTAAAATACTCACCAATTGTCTATTTACAAATAGAAATTCTTCTTTTAACATTTATTCTCTGTAAATGATCTCAAATTCTCATTTTTCTAAATCTTTTCTTGTCATTTTCATTATTTCTTCGAATAAACAGACTTAGTAAGTAATAGATACGCGGCGTTGTAAATGGACAGTACTAGGTATAAGAAAAAAATGTATAAAAAAATTGTACGATGCTATAATATAGTTATAAGTTTTGTAAATATGAATTTAATAAAGAAATTTTTGCAAAAGTATTGGTTTCATTTAAAGAAATTAATACCCGTTATGAAAAAAATTATAATATCGATATAAACATAGTAACGTAATGTCATTTATTTTTTAACCTTTCATCATCACCATTTTATTATATAATAAAGGTACATAAATCATTAATCAATATATATTACAGTATATAATATAAAACAAAACACGATTAATTATGTTTACGGGTTATTAATTAATTTGTTTTTTTTTGCACGAAAAGGACTTAACGTCATGATGTATTTTGTTTCAGTCCACCATTAAATGGTAGGACTAATATCTAGCTAGGAGTTCGTCTGGACAGGTTCTACCCTCTTTCCTTATTCTACCGCCAAATAGCAGTTCTTGCATTGCTGTGTTCCAGTCTGGAGGGCATAGAGAGCCAATGTAATTACAGGCTGTGAGGTATTTTGTCTTATTTCACAGATGTGACAAACCAATTTGTAGCTTTCATTATTTGAAGTTAGCAGCAGGTGTCCAGGATTGCAGTAGCTACTTACCATCAGGTGAACTGTAAGTTCGTTTTCACTTCAGTTTTATAAAAAAATTAAAAAAAAATTAAAAAAAAGTTATGTAAAAAGATATATCTAGTTTTTTTTTTTAGAATTTTGACGACTTGAGAATATTATTTGGATATTTTTCATTTATCTCATCACGCCTCGCAGAATAATAAGCATTTGCGTAAAATATGTAACTAATCAAAAGCTTTTTATACTAAATGGTTGATGCTAAATCCTATGATACAAATTCATAGAAGAAAAATATGTACTGGATGAATTTTTCATCGTATGGAAAAATAGGGTGTAATAGGTGAACGGAAAAGAACACTACGGCACTGATATTTTACAATTTTTTTGCTTTCACATTAACATATTACGAAATTAATCAATCAATAAATACTACTTATTTGAAATAAACTTTCGGTAATAAAAAAAACGAAAATTTTGAACTAAATAAATAAATCAACTAAAAACTATTGAATTTAAAATAATACGCACCCAAGTAGCAGTATTTATTGATAGATTAATTTCGTAATATGTTAAAGTAAAAGAGAAAAAAGTGTATATTAGTGCCATAGGCTTCTATTCCGTTTACCTGTTATACCCTAGTTTTTTTTCCAAACGGTAAAAAAGTCACTCAGTATAACTACTATCGCGTTTAATTTGAATCGTTTTTAGTTCCCGACTTTTCGGGTGTTTAAGGCCAGCACATACTACTACCAGCAGCGTTACTATGGATGCCGTAAGTGCCAAATTAGTTTTTTCAATGTGTAGTATGCATGTAAATATAAGATATCATTTCATGAACATATTGTTTACTTTGATATACGAATATTCGTTACAGCCTTGTTGATGTTGCGGTCGTGCTACTGTTGACCATGTGGACTCGGGCTCGAATCTCGGGTCGAACCAATATCAGTAATTGGGTCTTTGTGTAAATAATTACTTAGTAGCAGCCTCGAGTCAGGAAGCTAGCAGGGTTTTAATCTCGTGCCTCGGAAAACACGTTAACTCGATAGTCCTGCACCTGATTTTCTACTGGGTTTCTACAGTGAGGAGTTCTACAGAGAGTGTCATCACGGATTGCCATCCCATCGAACTCTCATAGAATGAGGTAACAGAGAAAATGCCTCTATTTGCACACATATTATAATGCAGTATAATCCTGTCAAGCGAATAAAATTCTTTCTAGAAGAATATAATATATATTACCAGCTTGCCAGGCAAACGTTGTTCTGCCCTTTTCAACGACCCTTTCTCATGTCCTATTAAAAATCCTCAAATTAGCAAAATCCTATCTCTCAAGTTGGACCAAACTACACAAGGTGTGCAAAGGGGAATGCCCACTGTTCATAGACACTTCGGCCATGGGTGCCCACATATAAAAGCATATGGAAATGATAATATACTGTTACGAGCTTGAGGTTCGTGACAATAAAAATTGCAGATAGAATTACCCAAATTAACACTTTAATTCACTTTACACTAATTAAAGTTAAAAACACTAATAATTAATCACACTGATTCACTTTATTCCGCTCCGAAGCTTCGCTTGTCTCGCCAACTTCAATAATTCCCCGATCGCGTAAAATAAAGTAAAGCAAAGCCTTTATATAGGGCTCTTCCACGAAAACATCCAGAATATTCCAGAATATTCGAGTAAATACGCGCGCCAACCGACCAAGCGCAGAAAGATCGAGTGTAGAGCTTCTAGAAAGTTTAGTTTTTCATTTTGATACTAGATGGCGCTGTCGGTAAAAATTTTCATGTCATTTTCTGGAAAGCTCTCTCCTCGCTTTGTTACCCGACACTAGATGGCGCTAGTGCCATGAGATGAGATGTCAACTTAGCCGCGCAACACTGCCCCCTCCTAAGAAATGCTCGTCCCGAGCATTATCGTCCCCATAATAACGCGCCAGGCGATCCACATGGACGATCTTAGGAGTCCCTCTTACGCCTTTCTGTATCCGGTAGGTTACATCGTTGATCCTGGTCACAATCCGGTACGGGCCGTCCCATTTAGCTTGAAGCTTAGGAGATTTCCCTTTGCTGCGGACTGGATTGTGCAACCACACAAGTGAACCTTCGTCGAACCCTTTGCTATTCATTTTGCGGTCGTACCGGGTTTTCATCTTTTCAGACATTTGTTGGCCCGATTGTCTGACGTGCTCATAAACGTCATTCATTTTGTTCCGCAAGTCATTTGCATAATCGGTTATACTGCGTGGAGCATCAGGTGGTATCCCGGTGATCAGGTCTGCAGGCAGCCGTAATTCTCTTCCAAAGTTTGCGAAAGCTGGTGTCACTGCTGTACTTTCGTGAACAACAAAAACGGTTGAATGTGTTTGTCCCAATCTCGTTGCCAATTGTCTACAACTTTTGCTAGGTACCTCTCCAATGTCTGATTAAATCGTTCTACCATTCCATCAGATTGCGGATGATAAGAAGTCGTTCTTGTTTTATGAGTACCCATCACTCGGCAAGTTTCCTGGAATATTTGAGACTTAAAATTCCTTCTCTGATCGCTGTGAATCTCCAAAGGTACTCCAAAACGACAGAAGACTTCATGAACTAGTTTATCTGCAACTGTTGAAGCTTCTTGATTTGGAATGGCGAAGACTTCTGGCCACTTAGTGAAGTAATCCATCACTACCATGAAATGCTTGTTACCGCTTTCACTCTCCGGAAACTCCTACGAGTCTGAGGTCCCTTTACAGCCGCACAACTTGTACATTTGCGACACCAGTCCTCGACATCGTTTCGACAGTGGACCCAATAAAACCGTTCTCGGATCTTCAGTAGAGTTCGTTTAACTCCCAGATGTCCTCCGGAACCATCATTATGGTACAGCTGTAGAACATCCGGTACTTTAGCTTTAGGGACAACCATTTGCAAGTGACAGCTGTCTCCCCGAACATTTTCCCATTTACGGCACAGAACTCCATCCTGAAGCAGCAAGCTGTCCCATTGGGCCCAATAGCTTTTAGTGGTCGAACTCATCGCTGAGACGTCGCTCCACTTGGGCTTGGGAGCACTGGCCTTCATCCATTCCAGAATCGGCTTGATATCCGGATCTTCCTGCTGTACATGTTGTAAGCTGTCCTTCCATTCGTTGCTGAGGTGGTCCGTCCTGAGCATCCTCACGGATACCACTTCCTTACTCTCCTGCCTAGTAAAATGTTTGCAATCTTCAGGACAAGGTCTTCGTGACAATGCATCTGCGTTGCCATGAAATTTCCCGCTGCGATGTGATGTTGATGTCATCCAAGTAGACCAGACAGGCATCGCCAATTATCCCGGTGAGTACAAGTTCCATCGGCCTTTCAAACGTTGCTGGAGTATTGCACAACCCAAACGGCATTACTTTAAATTACCACAGACCCTTTCCCATCGAGAACGCAGTTTTCTCCTTGTCCTTAGGGTTAATTTCAACTTGCCAGTAGCCACTTTTTAGATCCAGCGTGCTAAACCACTTTACTCCTGTAAGCATGTCCAGCGTGTCATCAATTCTTGGCAAGGGATAGCTGTCCTTCTTTGTAACGTCGTTCAGACAGCGGTAATCAACACAGAACCGCATGCTGCCATCCTTCTTCTTTACCAGCACCACGTGTGAACACCATGGACTAGATGAAGGTTCAATAACACCATCCTTCATCATTCCCTCAATCATGGTTTCCACTTCCTTTTCACGTGCTACCGGCAATCTTCTTGGCCGCTGACGGATAGGCAATTCTTCTCCTGTGTTTATTTTGTGTTGAACTAAGCCAGTCTTTCCCATGTCAGCATCGTTTGATGAGAATACATCGGCGTACTTGAGTAACAACTTCTTCGCCTTGACCAATTCGTTCAGGGAGAGAACACTGCGACAGTCTT